GACGCCCCGTGAGTGCGAGAGAGGCACGGACTCTCTAAAACCCGTGAGCAGGGTACTTTTTACACCCTTGTTGGGTATTTTTTTGGTCCCGTTGCGGTTAGCCCCTCCCCCTTCCTCTTTCCGTTACTCTTCCCGTTGTTGGGCCCTTTTCGATAATTGTGCGGTGCGATGAAATTAATTCCTGACGCGAAAAAGGGGAACGCTGGGGAAGGCCGGCTGCGCGCGCGCGGTAAAAGAATTTATTCGAGGAAGAGAAAAATAATGGACTGCTGTGGGCTTCTCGTACATGCGTGGGCCGGCCCGCTATGAGTACTGGGAGTGTCAGTTTCGCGGAATGGAAATGGACTGAACAGGCGACCAAACTTTCCTGACGCTTTTCCGTTGAAATGATATAGCAAACTCCGTTAATCCGCGAGACCTTTTCCGAATGATTTTCTATCGACTGATTGATGGACACTGCACCCACACCGTCTCATTGTCGGCAGCAACAAAAAAGCCCCAGCCCATAATGCTGTCGCAACAATACCCCCGTTTCCCACAACCTTCTTCCGTCACATATTTCCTGCCCTCCATTACTACACAATTTTTCATTTATTTTTTTATTTTTTTTTCGCTCGGGCATCGCATGGCCTCGGCAGCCCCGTGACGGATTTGACGCAACGAATGTAACAACACACGAGGCGCGCCGGGGCCACCACCGTATAAACACACCGCCATTCATCAAAGCCCTGTTTGCGTAGTACGTCAACTTCTCTGTCGCGTTTTGCCGCGTTTTGCCGTCCGTGCGCGGCGCGCGGTACATCCCTCCGATTCCTGGAACCCTCCCCCCCTCCCCCTCCTCCGCCCGCCCCTGCCAGCCCAGCCGGCGATGATAAATGGACCCAGCTGCCCCCCCCCCCCCTTTTACCCGCGTGACTCGCATTGTTGTAGGGCCGGGCCACATTATGGCCAATCCGAGCAATTATCAGTGTCCCCCCTGGTGGCCCTGGGGAGACCTAGAGGGTCCGGGGAGGGTCCCGAGGGACGTCCCGAGGGACGTCGGCGACCGCCTTGCGGTCCACTGTAGGACCGAGTCGTTTCCGTCGCTCTGTCTCTCTCGCACTCATGGGGCGTCTCTTATGAATGCGGGGGAGACAGAGCGGCGGAAACGACTCTCGGAATCAGTCTGCTGGAGCGGGTCGCAGCGCGCGCGTCCCGTCCTGGAATGGGCGGGCCGCCGAGCCCCGGGGCTCAACTCGGCAGTGAGGTGAGCAGGGTTAGGTGTTGAGGCCTGCGAGGCCGCCCCGCCCCGCCCCGCCCCGCGCGGCACACCGCGGTCGTCCGCTCAAGGGGGACCTGTTGGCTGCGGCCTTTGGCTTCGGCGGACATTGAAACAAACGGCTCAGGAATGCGACGAGAGAGAGAGACGCGTCGACGTCTTGGTTTTGAACAATGCCGAAAGAGTAAGGTGAAGCGGGTCAAGGCGCATTAAAGCAAAATTTAAAAGCATGTAGACTGTTGTTTCTTGGAAGAGTGGTTTCCAGTCCTCTGCGGACCACGACGTGGAGGTCTTATCTGTTTCCTTGCTTGTGTGCTTGGCGAGTTTTTTCGTTCCGCTCCGAATGGCTCTGGCTGCTTGGTGGGCCGTGTGTAGGCCGAACATCATCTCACGAATGTTCGGTTGCCTTCCCCATCACTTTGAGCGGGATCCGTCGCAGTAGTGTCTCTCCTTTTCATATGGCAGGCCGAGCCGAGCCGAGCCCCGCCATGTCTGTGTGCCAACTCAATATAGCAGGCAGGCCTGTAGCCCGCGTCTCGCGTACCGCGCCGCGCAAGTAGACTTGGCAAACTGTCGCAGCGGGGGCACGAAAACTCGAAGGGGTGATATCCAAGTGCCCCGCAGTCTCTCTCTCTCTGTCTCTCTCTCTCTCGCCTTGGCGGGGTGCCCCGTGAGTGCGACGGAGACAGAGCGACGCAGCACTCCTCTGCGGCGGGCTGGCGGCGAAGCGCCCGTCGAGTCGAGGGTAGGCCGTACCGGCGAGCTCGTGTGCCCGGCGCGTGGCCTACCCTCGCCATCGCAGGCGCTCCGCCTCGCCCGGCCTCGCTGGTCGGACGGACAAAAACTTTGCGGATTTTCTTTCCGAACGGTTTCCTGGCAGAGGGTCGGCGGAGGCGGGCGGCGCTTTGAGCGCCTTGTGCGTCAATGTGTCTGAGACGGTGACAGCGACTACAAGGGTCGGAACCAGGGGGAGGGTCTCCCTGTTTGGACCGCGTGCCATGCCGTCAGCCCGGTGCTCGTGTCGCGTATATCTCACGGCCCGCATCTGAGTCGATTCCCGCCGTGTTCAATCAAGCATTGTGGCGGCTCCTGCCGCCCCCTGCGGTCCCTGCGGCCCCCGCGACCCGAGGACGACACCTCTGTGCAGGGCCAAAGGGGCCGAGCAGGTGACGAAGCCAAGGGACCCTTCTCTGTCTCTCTCTCTGTCATGTCTCCCGTGTTTATTAGGGGAAAGGTCTGGCGGCCTACTTCCCCAATCATTCGTACACACACACACGCCGCGAGGTGGGCTTATCGTGTTTGTCCTACTGCTGCTGACAGCAGAGAGGGACCCTCCGACCCCTGTCTCATCCGACAGAAGCACACGGACGGACAGACAGACAGACAGACGGACAGACGGACAGACAGACAGACAGACAGACAGACAGACAGACGGACGGGCGAAGGGACATTATGAACCGCAGCAGCAGAACCCCCGGGGCAGGCCGGACGGCCCCGGGGGCTGGGGAAGGGAAATCCCCTGTCGTGCGAGGTGTGGTGCCCCGTCGCCAGAGATTTGCACTTCCTATTACGAGCTAAACCGTTCCCTGTCGGCAAATTGGGGACGAAGTCGACTCCAATTAGCTATATCGTTTAGTCGTCGCGTCGAGGTGACACTACGAGCCACGTGGTGGTCGTCAAAACGACTTGGGTTTTCGTGCACTAATTGCATTAAGCCCAACCTGCGTTTCCAAAATAGGATGGTGCAGCCTTGAGACGTTTCGAGGGCCGTGCAAACGGACTTGTTTGTGAGTGCAAGATGCTCCAAGGACGAGGGACTGGCCCCGCCCCGCTCGGTCGCAGCGCGGTCTTCCAGCACACTGAGAGCCGTTTTCGTCGCTCTGTCTCTCTCGCACTCACGGGGCGTTCCTCAGAGCTGCGAGAGAGACAGAGCGACGAAAACGGCTCTCGGAATCAGTCCGCAGGCAACCGCGCGTAAGCCGCGGCCGCGGGGATCATTCATCATTTCATCATTTCCTTTCGTCTATAAAATATCAATCAAATCGGGGCAAAGAGGGCGAGGCACAGCGGAGCACAGCGAAGCGAGGACGGAGCCGAGCGCTCCGCTCTCCTCGGCCGGCACACTGAGAGTCGTTTGCGTCGCGCTGTCTCTGTCGCACTCGTGGGGCGTCCCGTGTGGGTGCGAGAGAGACAGCGCGAAGGAAGCGGTCCTCGGACGGCTGGCCGGCCGTCGCGAGCACGTTTTTCGGCCGAAATGGCGAAATCCCTTCCGAGTGGCGATCTGTCTGTAAAAGCACACTCCCCTTTGTTGGTTTATTCGTGCGCGCTACCACATTCCCTTTTAGCGACCCGGCCCTGGCCCCGGCCTGGCACCCGGCCCTGGTTTGACCTGCTGGTGCCGCGTGAATTAGCAATGCCGTGTGCGGTCCCCGGGCGCGGCGGGGCGGGGCGGGGCGGGGCGCGCCGCACCGGGCGACCAGTTTCGCAGCGTGGGACCACTCTATTCACCTGTCTTCTTATACCCCCCTCTTCCCTGATCCCCTTCCACTGACCCCCTCCCCCCCCCCCTCTCTCTCTCCCCTGCGGTCGGGAACTGAAGCTATTGGGAGACTCTCGTTAAAGTGTAGGCCGACTCGGGTGCATTCACACGCTCCTTCACCCGTACACGCTGCCACCTACGCACCCACACCCTCTCTCACCACACACACACACACGCACGAGAGCTTGGTGGCGAACAAAGGGGGCAGCCGGGTGCCATTCAACGTGCTTCCCGCGAGGCGAGGACACGCCCGAAACCTTGCCAAAGTATTTTGAGCTGGTCCGGTTCAAACCACCAAGTTTGTTTGATCCGAAAGAATGTTAGCTGAAAATACTTTGACCACCCCATTCGAAAGTTAACGGACGTGCCGCTGTCTGTAGACCAACCCCGAGTCGAAGTTATCCTCCGGGTCACACTCTGCGCATGCTGTGCGGTCGGACGGACGGACGGACGGACGGACGGACGGGCAGGCGGACAGACCGGCGAGTGGTGCGGTGCGCGCAGCCTTGGCGCAGCCAGCCCGATTTCATTCGGCTCCTTTAGCATCTTTTGCAATCAAGAACAAGCCCGTCTAACGAGGCCGCGGGACCACCTCTTTGTACCTCCGGCCGTCTGGGCGCCCTGTCGCGCTGTCGCGCCGCCGCGCCGGAGTCTCTAAAACGCAAACGAGGCACCTAAATATAGCACCAAATGACCAAGTAAAAAGCAAGCAATAAACATAAAACACGCTTGGAGGCGGATAAGATTATTTTTGCCCCCGGCTGTACATTTTTTTTTCCTTTTCCTTGTTTTTTTCTGGTATTGTAAAATGATGCGATGTGAAATGGATCCCTAATTCGGGCGTTCGGCGTATCGCTTGCAGAATGCTTCATCAAGTTGTGTGGCACTGCAAGGAGGAGGGCAAGATGGAGGGGGGGGGGGAGGAAAAAAAGGAAACATGGCCTGGGGGGCGAGCCAGAGCCAGAGGGAAGAAATTGCCCGAGGCAACACCGGTGGCTAGAAGAGGTTGCAAGGCTGCTCGCTGCCGGGGGAAGGGAAAGGGGATCCTCAGCAGTTTTTTTTGTGCATGGCTTTGAGCATACGCGTGAAACGCTCAGTTTCGCGCAAAGCTCTGCAAAAGAAAACGACAAAGTAATTAGTGTGTGCACTGCAGTGTGGACGGGCTGGAAAGTGTTTGACGGCGGCCTCCTCTTTGTGTTCCAGTGACCAAGTTCATCCGCATCGGCATCGCCGACAAGAACGACAACCCTCCCTACTTCGACAAGGCGCTCTACGAGGCGGAGGTCGACGAGAATGAGGACATCCAGCACACCGTGCTCACCGTCACGGCCAAAGATCACGACGAGTGTGAGTACACTGCTACATTTTACTTTGCCCCGTTTGATCGTCCATCGGTGTGCCGCACTCCCTTGCGTCGATCCGCGCGGTCTAGACCCCCCCCCCCCCCGCTGCGCGTTGCCACACTGTAGTTCGGCGCAAGGCAGCGCGCTAGGCCCACCTGGGGATCGGCGGACCCGCTCATCGCAGCATCAATTTCTCATCACGTCAGTCCCCCCCCCCCCCCCCCATCCTCCTTAATTCTCACCGCGATAGAGAAACCTGTCCAAATCCCCCCCCCCCCCTCTTTTCCTCCCTGTCCGATCCGGTGTGTGCGACGCGGAATGAATAAATGCACACATAAGTAAACAAGCGGCACTGCGGCTGCGCGTTCTGTTTGCAGTGCGGGTGCGACCCGGGCGATATGCCGCGCTCGTATGGCCAGCCGGGCTGGACTTGAAAAGAAAAAAAAACACACACTTCAGTTCTTTTTTTCGGACACAAACAGCGTGTTTGAACCCAGGGCAGGTTTCCCCGAACGATCGGAACTGCCCTCGTGTGAAATTTGCAGCATTGGAAAAAAGAAAGTTCACGTTCTTTGATATTTCTTCTTCTTCTAGTGCGCCTCGTAGGCACTCGTGTCGAGAATGATGCGTGTTTTCCGCCCCCCCCCCAAAAGGACGGACCACTTCTAATAAAAATATCGAAATGAAAAAAAAGAGAATGAGAAGAAAAAAGCACGGTGAATAGTGTCAAGTCACGGTGGCGGATTCACACAGCCGTGGCTCCGCGCGTAGTAGCGCACCACTGCTCAGGCGTGTTTGTTTATGCACGCCCCCCCCCCTCCCCCTCGAGGTGGGGCGGAGGGCCAATACATCACCGGCCGGCTGCATGATTGATGTGGGGATTGGCGCCTCGCTCTATCTCGCTCTATCTTGCGGACGCTCTCAGTTATTAACGGATAGGCGTGGCCGAACCGAGTTCGGTTTGTTTAAACCGCCACGGAAAGGGGGGCAGGGGGGGGGGCGGTCCGGCGGTTTGGCAGCGCTGCTGCCGGCCCGTCGTCACCTGCTATTAATGATTTTCCCGAGCGATCTTGGGGAGCGGTGTCGTATCGCGTTAGGGGCGGACCCGCCGTGTCGTCCGCACGCCTTCTGTCTCTCTCTTCATTGCCGCTCTCCTACTCGCGCGCGCACTGTGAAAACCCTCACACGGAACCCGGCTGATGGCGCTCCATACAAAGCTTTGTGCCGACCGGGCCGTCCGCGCGAGCAGCGCGGGTCGATTTGGGGCGGACCATGCACATAACAATAAGCGATGGGCCATCAGTTCGAACCTAACCGGCCTTTCGGATTTGTCGTTGTTGTTGCTGTCGTTGTTGTTGTTTTTTGTTAACCATTGCGGGATGTGGATTGGCTGCCCGGTGCGGTCCGGCGATACAGCACGAGCGATCCATTGGGGATCAGCGAGGGGGGGGGAGGATATTTGCTAAATGTGAGTAGCGACCGCACGATAAACTTGGAGCTCTTGCCTCCTCCCCCTCCCCCCTCCCCCTCAAACCTCACACTGTAACTTTCATCCCCTGCAAATCCCCCTCCCGCTTCTGGCTTATCACTGATGTTGTTCAGGCGGACGACGTTTTCGGGCGCCGGTTGTTATTTTCCCGCTTAAAGGTGATCGAGGGGGGGGAGGGGGACCGACTAGGGGGAGGGGTATAAGTCAAACCAATGTGTTCTTATCTTGTTTGGAGACGTTATAGGTGACTTTGGTGTTTACAGTTTGCGCGTTTCCGAACTCTTGACTGAAACTTCCACCGCTGTGTGTGTGTGAGTGTTCGCGCGTGCGTGCGGTGACGCATAGGGCCAGTTGGCTGCCATCCGCACCTTCTCGGGGTGTGTGGTGGTACACTGTACTGCACAGTGTGCAGGCAGGCTGCGGTGCGGCGTTGGTCGCCGCACTCCTAACCTCCCGTCTCTCCCTGCGTCCCCACTGGGCCGCTGTTGACAGGGGTCGAGGCGAGCGGCAAGTCCGGGCTAGTCCACGCGGAAGGGCAGGTAGTGGTTCCACTCTCCTGCCCGGGGGCCGTGTCGCTGTCATGCAGGCCCTTTGTGTGTGTGGGTGGGGGGTGCTGTCCCACTCGACTCGATACGAGGCTTGTGTACGGTGACGAGAGATTTTGCAAAGGGCAACAACCAGCACCTTTTTTTTACTGTGCTGCCTGGAACCTTCCGCATGGATGCTCCTCCACCCGTGGACCGTAGTCTTTCGTCGTGCATCCATTCGCCTGCCTTCTGTCTAGCATCCCCCTGTCCCCCCCTCCTTCCCCCTGCTCGCTCTCTCCCTGCCTCTCGAACCCGGCACCAGCTGAGTGATTCCGTCGGTGTGTCTCTCTCGCACCCCACACGGGGCGTCCAAAGAGTGCGTGAGAGGGAGAGAGAGACTTTTTTTTTGCGGAATGAGTCTACAGGGGGGCGGGCCGCTGCACGTTGGCGTCACCCTTGATTTTCCTCGCGCTCTGCACCCCGCCGCGCTGGTTCATCAGCTGCCGTGTTTTTTACGCTCGGCTCTTGAGCGTGGCGTGGCAAGGCGAGGCGTGGCGTGGCGAGGCGTGGCGCGGCGTTTCGCGGCGTGGGCGAGCGATTGGAGCCGTAACGACGGGAGGCGGCGCGGCTCACCACCACAGGCTGATTCCGAGAGTCGTTTTCGTCGCCCCGTCTCTCTCGCACTCGTGCGGCGTGGCGTCTGGGTGCGAGAGAGACGGAGCGACGACTTGGCTGTTATTTCCGGCGCTGCCTGTTCCCCTTCCGGTCGCTCATTTTCGCGTCCTTGGCTTTCAGGAGCCCTTTCTCCTTTATTCACCCCGCCGCCCCGCGGAGCCGCCCCTTTAAATGTGGAAACTTGTCTCGCAGTCAGTGGAGTGGAGTGGGGCGTTTTGCTTTTATGGCGGTATTGAGGAAAGATCGTAGGCAATGTGTCGCCCGGGAATGGCCCCTCCCCCCTCCACTTTGATGGGTCGGATGAGGCGCTCCAAAACGATCAATATTTACGCCGATGGTGTCGCGGTCCGGTCCACTCCGGCCCCGCCAAACGAGCGCACGGAAAAAAAAAATTCTGCGCCGTTGTAATCGACTTTGTTTGATGGACTGCCATCGAAAACTCGCAGTACTCATAAAACCAAAAGCCGGACCGAGCATTTGTACGAGGGTGTCCTCTTGCGAGTGTCCGATCGTGGCAACCAGCATTTGCCTGCTGGTATCGGATTTCCGATCGCAGCTTTCGAACGAAGTTGATCACCGCAACAAAGTATTTTCGTGTTTGGTGCGAGCGGAGTGACAAGACGAAAACCACTTCGGCCAGCCTCGGCCTGCCGGACAGACTCGGTGCACGCATTTAACTTTTCATGGCCGTTTCCGCTGTGTGTCGCGCGTTCTCCTTTCTTGTTTTATTACTCCTGCTATTTTTTTTTTTCGCTGTGTTATTCCCCAGCTTTTTTCCTGTGCTTTTGTATGTTTCCGCGCGACGTTTTTATTCGCCGCACTGGCCGAATTGCTGAATTGCTGAATTATTAAAACTTAATCTCGCTCTAATCAAGACGCTAAGCGCGCGACCGCATTCTCTTTGTTTCGCCACTTTTGCCCGCGTGTGTGTGTCCCAGTGTGTGCTAGTGTGTGTGTGTGTGTGTGTGTGTGTGTGTGTATGTGTTGTATGTTTGCACAAATTACCTACCTCCTTGCCTAGTCCTTGACGGATGGAGCAAAAAGTCAGACACGTGCTGAGAGAGTATGTAAAAGATCGCGACACGCGCCGTGAGGATGTGGTATACGTGGCGTACCTGGGGACGGTGCCCTTCCGTGGTCAACGGACGCGAAGGAGAGGGGGGGGGGGGGGGGGCTCGCGGAGAGGTCGGGGACTGGGGACGTCCCCGCACGCGTGCAGCTTGCGCGTCGGCGACACGGAATACCAATGCGGAGTCTTGGCACGGACCACCCGCTGTTGCCTTTGCAGCCTGCGCGCCGCGTGCGTGTGGGGCTGTGTGTGCGTCAGAGAGAGAGAGAGAGAGAGAGAGAGAGAGAGAGAGAGAGAGAGAGAGAGAGAGAGAGAGAGAGGAGAGAGAGAAGAGAGAGAGAGCGCGAGAGAGAGAGAGAGAGAGAGAGCGAGAGAGAGAGAGAGAGAGAGAGAGAGAGAGACAGCAGTGTGGTGGCGCGGACCGCGGTCAGGTGCGCGGCCTTATCTGCGCGTCCGGCAGTGAGGCAGGTCGCGGACCGCGTGGCACAGTGGGGCGGAGCGAGGGACGCACGCAGCCAAACGAAAGAACGTAAAAACGGAAACAAATGTATAAGGACACGGCGCGTGTTTGACCGCACGTAAAGGTACACTTACACTTCATGTGGTCGGGTAAAACGAGGAATTTAGTTCGCGTCAAGTGCTAAGTATTTTTTTGTGAGCTTATATTTGCTCGGAATACTTCTCTCATGACTGGCTACGTTTCTTTGTAAGGCCTGAACGGGTTGGTGTGGTTTCGAGAGTGCACGGCGACGCTGCGAGGACAGGAGACAGTGCACTGTTCCGCCTGCGGCCGCCTCGAGGTGTGGGCATAACGGCCGTGTGTGTGTGAGTGCGGGCCGTACGCGTATATTTCATAGTTTACTCTGCCTGTCCTCGCCCTCCGGAGCCCCCAGAGGGGCACCGCCGCCGCCAAGCTCTGCCGTCCCGCACGTCTCGCCGCGCGCACCGCGCACACCAGACTGATTCCGAGAGTCGTCTTCGTCGCCCTGTCTCTCTCGCACCTATATGCGGGACGCCCCATGAGTGCGAGAGAGACAGGGCGACGAAGACGGCTCTCGGAATCAGTCTGCAGGGCGCACAGCACGGTCGGCACACGGCGCAAGCCGGCAGCGGCAGCAGCGGCCCCGGGGAGCGCCCGCGAACACGAGGGTAGGCCACCCGCCGCACTCGGGCATGTGGCGCGCGGCCTAGGCCGGCCCGACAGATTGGGGCGTGGCGGATGCGACGCGGAAGGAGCGGGGCTC